GGATGACAGGACCCTGATGAACACTGGTCTTCAAAGTCAGGATTGTGTACTCCCTAGGAATTATTGTATGTTTCCAAAGGGCATGTGATCCATTCAGAGGAAGGAAGGAAGCATTTATGTGCCAAGCACTTTACAAATATTATCTTATTTGAACTGCATAATAATGCTGGGAAGTAGATGTTGTGATCTCCATTTTACAGATGGAAAAACTAGTGGCCAGAGATTGTGATTGACCTAGGGTCACATAGCTAGGAAGTGTCTGAGATAGGATTTGAACTCTGGTCTTCCTGACTCCAGGGTCCAGCTCTCTATCCACTGTACCATCTAGTTCTTTACGTGTGTGTGTGTGTGTATAAGTAAGTATGTACATAGTGGAGCCATGTTACTTTCTGACACAATAAATTCCAGACTAGGATCTAATATTACTTTACCTTTTTCTCAGTCTTTTAAATTTCTATTTGTGTGTAAGTATAATGACCTTTCTGGGCTACCCCTCCCTTAATAATACTTGCCCTGGGGAGTTGAGTCCTCAGGGATGTGACAACTATAACAGGTTCAAGGTTACTATTTGGCCAGTAGTCACAATTAGCTCAAAGCCAAGGCATTTACAAAGATGGCATGGTAATGGCAGTAGCTACAAAATACCTCCACCCCCAAATCCTGAGGTTAAATCTCTCCCACAGATACATACAACATTCATGAGAAGATTTTTTAGAAACTTAGATTTAGAAGATTTTTAGGAACTTTAAGGGTATACCAGTAGATAGGCACACACATATAGTACACAGATGGCTAAGACAATTAATTCCTCTGGAACTGCAGGCCCCTGATGTCCTTTTTCTTCCTGTGAAGTCATTCTACTATTTCCCTCTGAATGTAGCATCTCTTTGGGGGGAGGAGACAGAGGTCACCCAGAAGGGGTCCCTGGTTTGGCTCCTCCCATGGCTTGATTTGACTTCTAGGGCTGATTCTTCTTGTAATCCATAGTCAGTTCCCTTTTCTGCTGCCTGAGATCTCACTCACTGAAGTTTCTTCCTAACTCAAATGATGATTTTCTATGTCTATGTCTCCATAAGAAATATGTCTTTGCTTCTTTATAAATGCATCTGAATTGTTCCTTGAACTTTCTCAAATTGTATCTCAGGAAAGGCAGGCTTGGGGGGTGATCAATCACCACATAACCGATGGCCAGCTACTTTACCAATTAAATAGGAGGATTTAGTAGAATTTCTTCACATTTTTTAAAAAAGACAAATAAACACATCTTTGCACTTCATTAGCATATTAACATCTTTGTTATCTGTTCCCTTACTTTCTGTGATTGCATCTTTTCATCAAGAGTACTTGAATGTCCTCTATTTCACTGAATGTCCATTTCCCCCCCTAAAGGATTATACTCCGTTTTGCTGGATAGGTCATTCTTGGTCGTAATCCTAGCTCCTTTTACCTGCAGAATAATCATATTCCAAGCCCTGTGGTCCCTTAATGTAGAAGCTGCTAACTCTTGTGTTATCCTGATTGTGTTTCCACAATACTTGAATTGTTTCTTTCTGGCTGCTTGCAGTCTTTTCTTCTTGACCTGGGAACTCTGGAATTTGGCTACTATATTCTTAGGAGTTTTCCTTTGGGGATCTCTTTCAGGAGGGGTTCTGTGGATTCTTTTCAATTTCTATTTTGCCCTCTGGTTCTAAAATATCAAGGCACTTTTCCTTGATAATTTCTTGAAAGATGATTTCTAGGCTCTTTTTTTGATCATGGCATTCAGGTAGTCCAATAATTTTTAAATTATCTCTCCTGGATCTATTTTCCAGGTCAGTTGTTTCTCCAGTGAGATTTTTCACATCGTTTTCTATTTTTTCATTCTTTTGGTTTTATTTTACAATGTCTAGATTTCTCATAAATTCACTAGCTTCCAATTGCTCTGTTCTAATTTTTAAGGAAGTAGTTTCTTCAGTGAGCTTTCGGACTTCCTTTTCCATTTGCCCAGTTCTGCTTTTTAAGTCATTCTTCTCCTCATTGGCTTTTTGGACCTCTTTTGCCATTTGGGTTAGGCAATTTTTTTTTAATATAAATTTATTTATTTTTAGTTTTCAATATTCACTTCCAACAAGTTTTTGAGTTCCAAATTTCTCACCCCTCCCCCCATCCCAAGATGGCATGCATTCTGAATACCCCTTCCCCTGGTCTGCCTTCTCTTCTATCTCTCCCCCCTCCCTTCTCTTATCCCCTTCCCCTTCTATTTTCCTGTACAGCAGGATAGACTTCTGTAACCCATTTCCTGTATTTCTTATTTCCCAGTTGCATGTGAAAACATTTTTTTTAAAACATGTGTGTTTAAAACTTTGAGTTCCAAATTTTCTCCCTTCCTCCCTCCCCACCCACCCTCATTGAAAAGGCAAGCAACTCAATATAGGTTGTACATGTGCAGTTATGCAAAACACTTCCTTAGTAAACATGTTGTGAAAAACTAACTCTGTTTCCCTTAATCCTATCCTGCCCTCCCATCTATTCTATTCTTTCTTTTGACCCTGTCCCTCCTCAGAAGTATTTGCTTCTGATTACCCTCTTTCCCAATCTGCTCTCCTCTCTATCATCCCCCTGCTCTCTTGTCCCCTTCTCCCCCTATTTTCCTGTAGGGTAAGACAGATTTCCATACCCAATTGAATGTGTATGTTATTCTCTCCTTAAGCCAAATTCTATGGGAATAAGATTCCCTCATTCCCTTTCACCTTCCCCTGTTTCCCCTCCACTGTGACAGACTTTTCTGTTTTTTTGTGAGATAATTTACCCCATTCTACTCTCCCTTTCTTCTCCGAGTATAGTCCTCCCTCATCCCTTAATTTTATTCTCCAGATATAACCCCTTAATCTTCAACTCACCCTGTGCCATCTATCTATCTATCTATATATACATACATACAATTTTTTTCCTTCAACTACCCTAATACTGACAAAGTTCTCATGAGTTACGAATATCATCTTTCCATGCAGGAATGTAAACAGTTCAATCTTAATAAGTCTCTTATGATTTCTCTTTCATGTTTACCTCTTCATATTCCACTGAAGTCCTGTATTTGAAAGTCAAATTTTCTGTTTAGCTCTGGTCTTTTCATCAGGAATGCTTGAAAGTCCTCTATTTCATTGAATGACCATTTTTTCCCCTGAAGGATTATACTCAGTTTTGCTGGGTAGGTGATTCTTGGTTGTAATCCTATCTCCTTTGCCCTCCACAATATTATATTCCATGCCCTGCGGTCCTTTCATGTAGAAGCTCCTAAATCTTGTGTTATCCTGATTGTGTTTCCACAGTACTTGAATTGTTTCCTTCTGGCAGCTTGTAATATTTTCTCCTTGACCTGGGAACTCTGAAATTTGGCTATAATATTCCTAGGAGTTTTCCTTTGGGGATCTCTTTCAGGAGGAGATCTGTGGATTCTTTCAATTTCTATTTTGCCCTCCGGTTCTATTATATCAGGGCAGTTTTCCTTCATAATTTCTTGAAAGATGATGTCTAGGCTCTTTTTTGGAACATGGCTTTCAGATAGTCCAATAATTTTGAAATTCTCTCTCCTGGATCTATTTTCCAGGTCAGTTGTTTTTCCAATGAGATATTTCACATTGTTTTCTAATTTTTCATTCTTTTGGATTTGTTTTACAGTGTCTTGATTTCTCATAAAGTCACTGTCTTCCAATTGCTCTATTCTAATTTTTAAGGAAGTATTTTCTTCAGTAATCTTTTGGACTTCCTTTTCCATTTGGCCAATTTTGCCTTTTAGGGCATTTTTCTCCTCATTGGCTTTTTGGACCTCTTTTGCCATTTGGGTTAGGCTATTTTTTAAGGTGTTATTTTCTTCAGTATTTTTTTGGGTCTCCTTTAGCAAGCTGTTGACTTGTTTTTCATGATTTTCTTTCATCACTCTCATTTCTCTTTCCAGTTTTTCCTCTGCTTCCCTTACTTGCTTCTCAAAATACCTTTTGAGCTCTTCCAAGGCCTGGGACTGATTCATATTTTTCTTGGAGGCTTTGGATTTAAGAGCTTTGATTTTGTTGTCTTCTTCTGGTTGTATATTTTGATCTTCTTTTTCACCAAAATAGGATAATATAGTCTGACTCTTTTTGTGCTGCTTGCTCATGATCCCAGCCAATTACTTGAGTTTTAAACTCTTTGTTAAGGTAAGAGTCTGCTTCCAATGTGGGGAGTGTACTGTCCCAAGCTTCAAGGGTTTGTGTAGCTGTTTTCAGAGATACTTGTAGGGACCTGTAAATTTTCAGTTCTTCCAAGGTGGTATAAGGGGCAAGGTGTTTACTCCTTTCCTGGCCTGTGACCACAAGTATTCCTTTCTGTCCCATAACTGTGAGGAGAGGTTCCTCTCCACAGCCACTCCAAGCTCCACCACGCCAGTGCTCCTCCTCACCCTAGCACCACCGCCCAGAACTGTGACCCAGATCCACACACAGGCAAAGCAAGAGATTCCTGCCTCAGCACTGGCAAAGAGATCCCTGCAATCCCTCTCTGATCAGCCACTGGATTCCCCCTCAGTCTGTGGGCCAGAAGCTCGGGAAGCAGCTGCCCCCCCCCCCCAGGGCCACGCTCTTGGGGAATGGAGCTGAAACCCCGCTGTAGAGGGCCAGCTTTGGGGAGTTGGAGGGTTAGGCCAGCCCGGGTCTTACCTGCAGCTTGTACTAAGCCTGACAGCTGTGAAACTCAGGATGTCTGCTCACCACCCCCTTGTTCTGTCTCTTGAAAACAGGATGCAGGAAGGGAGGAAACGGACGGGGTACAGGACAGGACGCAGGAAAGAATGTAACAGACAAGGTACAAGGAAGTTAGGAAATCACCTAATTAGATTTGTACTTTTCATGAATAACAATGTTACTATTGCTTGATCCAGTACTATATAAGCCTGAGCCCTCAGATTAATTAACAGAGTTTGTTCTTCACTGCTCTCACCTGGCCTGTGATTCTTTCTCTCTTCACACTCTGCTGGCATCATACCACAGCCGGGGACGCAGGCACTCCCGGCATTTGGCAGCGGAACAGGGACCTGAAAGGAAGGCTTCCCCCGGCAGAGTGGCCCTGGACAAGGTGGGCTGTTTAGCCAACAGCCCTAGAAAAGGAGCTCCGGTCGTCAAGAAAAGACGCTAACAAGGTAGGGCGATAATTTTCCTATACAGTTCTTTATTTTCACCAGGTTAAACGGGGATTAAAAAGAAACCGGAATGCCGCTTGTCGGGATCTCTTAAAGCGAAAGTGAACATCAGAACGGGACTGCTGCTTACCGAGGTCTCTTAAAGCGAAAGTGAGCATCAGAACGAGACTGCCGCTTATCGGGGTCTCTTAAAGTGAAAGTAAACCTCAGAACAAGACTGCAGCTTATCGGGGTCTCAGATTTAAAGGGAAAGCAAACCGCACCGGCTAAGTAGCATCCTATAAAAGAGTTAGCTAATATGGGGCAGAGCTACTCGGCAGAACAGAAAGACAGAGGATATTATTTGAAAATGTTTGAATCATTAGTAAGAGACAGGGGATTGCTGATCACTTATGGACAGCTGGATGAATTTTTAGACACAATGGAAGAATGCTGTCCTTGGTTTCCGAGAGAAGGGACAGTAGATATGGAAAAATGGGAAATAGTAGGTAAACACTTACGTGAATATTATCAAGAATGCGGACCTGGTGTTTTTTCAGCGTCCACTTTCTCAACTTGGAGCATACTTAAAATATGTCTCCACAAGTCTGAAGAGGTGCCTCTGTCCACAAAAGCAATTAAGGTAGAAGCCTCTTGTGGCACCACAGGGGAGGAAGAAGTGGCAAAAATGTTAAGGAAAACAGAAGTTAAGAATAAAGTAAATGATGAGGTAGCTAAAGTTTCAAGGCCCCCCTCACAGTCTCCATACCCTACAGCTCCTCCACAGTATTCATCCCGGTTAAATCCTTGTCTAGAGGAGGAGGACATTGTGACCAGAGCTGTAAGAAAGGCTCAAGCAACAGGACAAGAGGTCCCTATAGAGCTACAGATTGCTTTGCCTGTTATAGAAACAGCAAATCCCAATGGAGGGGTTGTTAGAGAACATCATTCTTTTGATCTAAAATTGCTAAAAGAACTGAAACATGGGGCACATGAATATGGAGCTAACAGTCCCTACGTGCTTTCACTAGTGGAGAGCATTTCCCGAACTGCTTTAGCTCCTCAGGATTGGCAGACTTTGACACAGACAGTAATGGAAGGAGGTGATTATTTAATCTGGAAAGCAGAGTTTTGTGAATTATGTCAGGAAAAGGCTAGACAGAATCATCGACAAGGTGTACACATAACTTTTGAACAATTAACTGGCACTGGGCAATATTCAGAATTAAGAGATCAATTAAATTATGACTTACATGCCTATGAGCAAATTATGCAGTGTGAAGGTCCCAGGGAAAACCAATCGCTCCACTTCTTATACACAGCTTGTTCAAGGGTCTCAAGAACCTTTTTCTGACTTTGTTGCTCGGCTGACATTAGCTATTCAAAGAAGTGTCAGCAACTCTGAGGCAGCTTCCATCCTGTTGCAAAGCTTAGCTAAAGATAATGCTAACACTGACTGTAGAAAGTGCTTAGCTGGAACAAGGGATGACATACCAATTGTAGAGATGATAAAAAGGTGCCAGAACGTAGGGACAACGGCCTTCTTAGCAGAATCTTTTGCTGCGGCATTAACAATACCTCAAGGCAGCAAAAATCCCTGTTATAATTGTGGGAAACAGGGTCACATGAAAAAAGATTGCAAAGCCCCCATAAGTCAGCCCCAGGCCAAAACTCTTGATCACCTTCACAGGTCTGTCCTAGGTGTAAAAAGGGCAAACATTGGGCTAATGAGTGTCGCTCCAATACAGATACAGAGGGCAATTCACTTTTGGGAAACGCCTCCTGGGGCTTGCTCTGGCCCCAACAAACAATGGGAGCAGCATTATCCCTGATTCCTCCGTTCCCATGCCAACCCAACCACAATAAAAGAATTGTGTCATGCTACTCCAGGTAGTGCGGGTCTTGATCTCCCTACTGCATGTTCCTATTCTATAACTACATCCATGGGAGTCTGTTCGCTACCTACTGGTATCTTTGGCCCTATCCCTCAAGGGACCATGGGACTCATTCTTGGCCGTAGCTCTTCTTCTCTAAAAGGACTTGTAATATTACCAGGAGTTGTGGATTCTGATTACACCGGAGAAATTCATGTTCTTCTATATTCTCTGTACCCTAAACCTCTTTTGCTAACCAAGGGGGAAAGGATTGCACAGTTAATAATTATTCCCTACATGAACACAAGTAGTAGTAAAAACAAAGTCAGGGGAGCGCAAGGGTTTGGTAGTACAGGTAGAGAAGCCTTTTGGGCACAAACAATTACTGATAGTCGCCCCACATTAAGACTAATTATTGAAGGAAAAATTTTTGAAGGATTAATAGATACTGGAGCTGATAAGTCCATTATTGCTGGAATACAGTGGCCTCAGACATGGCCTTTAAACCAAACAGAGATGCCTCTTCAAGGGGTAGGGACTGTAACGATTCCACAACAGAGTGCTCAATGGCTCTCATGGCAAGTAGAAGGGATGGTAGGAAAATTTCGGCCTTATGTCCTTAAAAATCTGCCAATAAATCTTTGGGGGCGAGATATACTTCAGGAGATGGGGGTATCCATGCAATCTATGCGGCAGGGTTTTCACTAGGGGTCACTGCTGAGAAAGACAAGAGACAAAGGACCCCTCGAATAATTTGGAAGGAGAGACCTCCCATATGGGTGGAACAGTGGCCCCTATCTCAAGAAAAGCTAACTGCCCTGACTGAAATAGTAAAAGAACAGTTAGAGGCTGGCCATATTGAGCCATCTAATAGTCCGTGGAACTCACCTATTTTTGCTATAAAAAAGAAATCAGGAAAATGGAGAATGTTGACTGATCTTAGACGCATAAATGATAGAATGCAAGATATGGTCAGCCTTCAACCAGGCTTGCCCTCTCCCAATATGATACCGAAAGGATGGCCCTTATGGATAATAGATCTGAAGGATTGCTTCTATACTATCCTGCTACAACCAGAGGACAGGCCATACTTTGCATTTTCATTACCTTCAATAAACTTAAGAGCCCCACATAGGAGATATCAATGGAAGGTTCTCCCCGAAGGGATGAAAAATAGTCCCACCATTTGTCAGCAATTTGTAGCAGCAGTCATCCAACCAGTTAGAGACTGCTTTCCACAGGCCTATATTATACATTATATGGATGATATTTTATGCTCTCACCCAGATGCTGGAGTATTAGAAACATTTTGAGGACTATGACTAAGGCATTAGAAGATCAAGGATTAGTGTAGCACCAGATAAAATACAACTTTCTCCACCCTTTTCATATTTAGGACAAACAGTAGAGCAGACAGAAATTAAACCACAAAAGGTCATAATAAGAAGGGATCAATTAAAATCCCTGAATGATTTTCAAAAATTACTGGGAGATATTAATTGGCTTCGACCTCATTTGGGAATAGGAACTCATGAGCTAGGGGAACTTTTTAAGATACTCCGAGGAGATCCTAATCTTAATTCCCCAAGACAATTAACTCCAGAAGCAAATATACAACTTCAAAGGTGGAATCTGCAATTGAACAATGTAGAACCCAAAGAATAGAAAAGGGTCTTCTTATTGAAATAACCATCCTGCCAACTCCAGAGATTCCTTTTGGAGCCATACATCAGCAAGCAGGGATCTTAGAGTGGGTATTCCTGCCATTCCAAACCAAAAGGTCTGTAACCCCTTATGCACAGCTTGTAGCGCAACTTCTATCAAAGGCGCTAAAAAGAGCACTCGCCATCAGTGGACACCTTCCTCAGGTGATCCACCAACCATATACTCAGGAGCAGATTGACATGTTGGTAAGTAATGACCCTTCCTGGCAGGTGGTGTTATCAATATATCAAGGGTATATGGATAACGTTTTTACACAAAAAATCTTTCAATTCATGACACCTTATAAGTGGATATTCCCTCGGATTGTACAAAATCAGCCATTGCCCAAGGCATTAACTGTCTTTACTGATGCCACTAAGAATGGCACGCGCTTATTACTGCCCTCCTGACATTAAAAGGATTATTAATACTCCATTCCAGTCTACTCAACAAAATGAGATTTTTGCAATTATTGAAGTTATAAAGCAATACAATTGTCCTCTCAATATTGTCTCTGATAGCAAGTATGCTGTTTATGTAATTAACTCCATAGAAACTGCACAGTTAAAATACTCCACTAACCTCTCTATTTTTCAGCTTTTTCACGAATTACAAAATGCAATAAGAGAACGTACCCATCCTCTTTTTTGCATGCATGTTCCTGCTCATACTTCTCTCCCAGGTCCTATAATAGAAGGCAACTCTGTAGCAGATACAATAATTACCTTTTCCTTTTCCCTACTCGAAGCTCAACAATCCCATGAACATTTCCATCAATCTGCTAATATGTTAAAGAGACAATTCCATATCACACGAGAACAAGCGTGGAATATTGTGAAATCATGTACAAAATGTGTCCCCTATCTTCCCTCTCCACGTATCACCTCCACTAATCCGAGAGGCCTTCGTCCATTAGACATATGGCAGATGGATGTCACTCATTATCCATCTTTTGGGCGTCTTCACTATATACATGTAACTGTAGATACCTTCTCTGGGTTTACTATGGCTACCCCCCATACAGGGGAGGCTGCTACCCATGTAATTGATCATTTATTGTTTTGCTTTAGTATTCTTGGTATTCCAAGATACCTCAAGACTGACAATGCTCCCGCCTATACTAGCAGGAATTTTGCACAATTTTGTCTCACCTATAATATCACTCATTCTACTGGCATCCCGTACAATCCTACTGGACAAGCCATTGTTGAAAGGCACAACAAGGATATTAAAATCCTCCTTGATAAACAGAAAAAAGAGGGAATAGAAAATAGGGTAAGAAGGAGATTGGATCAGATCATATATACCATAAATTTAAAAAGGAGATTGGACCAGGTAATACATACCATAAAAATTTTTAACACTAGATGATCAGGGACGTACTACTGCACAAAAACATTTTGCAGGGCAAAAGAACAGGTTGTTAGATGAGCAACCAGATGTCACAGTAATGTGGAAGGATCCAAAGACGGGTAATTGGGATGGTCCAGTAAAATTACTAACCTGGGGTCGAGGTTATGCTTGTGTTTTTCCAGAACATGCAGGAGAACCAGTCTGGGTTCCCGAGAGGAACATCCGTACCTGTCAGCATACTGACTAGAGGGATAGAGACCCTGAGCATCAAAGGAAAAACTGGTCGGAGAGACAAGCAGAGGAGGAAGGCGAGACTGAGAAGATGAAGAGCCAGTAATAAGATGTTGACTGTCCTTTTTTGCAATGATGACTGTCGCAGGTGGCTCCATGATGGAGTCATGATTACATTGGACTTATATGCCTTACCCCACCTTGGGTTATACCTGTAACTTGACCACTATACTTTTGTTTGTGTAACTCCCCATTTGCTTTCTAATACTACCACTGTAACTTCTGATCAAATATTGAGTAAGTTTCAGGGTGCTTGGCATTCCAAAAATATAACATGGATGGTATTGATCCTCAAGATATTGTTTATAAGCTATTGTACTATATCAAGCAACTTAACACTTTCCAGAATATTTCAAGTTTGCTGTTGCATTTCATACCCTGATAGTATTCTTGTTACTCTTGAGTTTTCCCCTGATGTGCATCCCACGTTCTCAAACTAGAACAGAAGAAAGGGGGAGATGTAGAGGGCCGGCTTTGGGGAGTTGGAGGGCTTAGGCCAGCCCGGGTCTTACCTGCAGTTTGTACTAAGCCTGACAGCTGTGAAACTCAGGATGTTGGCTCACCACCCCCCTGTTCTGTCTCTTGAAAACAGGATGCAGGAAGGGAGGAAATGGATGGGGTACAGGACAGGACGCAGGAAAGAATGTAACAGACAAGGTACAAGGAAGTTAGGAAATCACCTAATTAGATTTGTACTTTTCATGAATAACAATGTTACTATTGCTTGATCCAGTACTATATAAGCCTGAGCCCTCAGATCAATCAACAGAGTTTGTTCTTCACTGCTCTCACCTGGCCCGTGATTCTTTCTCTCTTCACACTCTGCTGGCATCATACCACAGCCGGGGACGCAGGCGCTCCCGGCACCCTGCCTTCCTCTCTGACCACCAACAGAAACAGACTTTTCCCACTGACCTTCTAAGTTGTCTTTAGCATTCGTGGATTGAGGAGTCTGGAAACCTCCACAGCTGCCCGTGATTCAGTCCTCTGAAGCCTGCTCCAGGTTTGCTGCAGCTTGCGCGCCCACGCTGCACTGTGCTCCCAGCCCAACGCGATACACCTTTCTGATCAATCATCCAGGTTGTCTTGGGCTAGAAATTTGTTTCACTCTGTCTTTTTGTGGGTTCTGCTGCTTCAGAATTTGTTTAGAGCCATTTTTTATGAGTATTTGGAGGGGTTTGGGGGAGAGCTCAAGCAAGTCACTGCTTTCACTCTGCCATCTTGGCTCCACCCCCTAGGCAATTTTTTAAGGTGTTATTTCTTCAGTATTTTTTGGGGTCTCCTTTAACAAGCTGTTGACTTGTTTTTCATGATTTTCTTGCATCACTCTCATTTCTCTTTCCAGTTTTTCCTCTGCTTCCCTTACTTGCTTCTCAAAATACCTTTTGAGCTCTTCCATGGCCTGGGACCAATTCATATTTTTCTTGGAGGCTTTGGATATAGGAGCTTTGACTTTGTTGTCTTCTTCTGGTTGTATATTTTGATCTTCTTTGTCACCAAAGAAAAAGTCTATGGTCTGACTTTTTTTACAGTTTGCTCATGATCCCAGCCAATTACTTGAGTTATAAACTCTTTGTTAAGGTAGGGCTCTGTTTCCATTGTGGAGAATGTACTGTCCCAAGCTTCAGGGATTTTGTGCAGCTTTTTTCAGAGATACTTCTAGGGGCTTGTAAATTTTCAGCTCTTCCAAGGTGGTGTGATTGAAAGAGAGGTGTTCACTCCTTTCCTGGCTTGTGATCTGGTCTGTGAGTGACCACAAGCACTCTCTTCTGCCTTGGAACTGTGAGGAGGATTCTTTCTGCCCCTTCACTACAAACTCCACCATGCTAGCATTCCTCCTCACCCCAGGCACCTAGAACTGTGACCCAGATCCAAGCATGGGCAAAGCAAGAACATCCTGCCTCAGCACCAGCCAAGAGATCTCTGCAATCTCACTCTGATCAGCCACTTGATTCTCCCTCTGTCTGTGGGCCGAGCTCAGGAAGCAGCCATAGCTGTGGGGCTACACTGGGACTGAACTTCTCTCTCACTGCAGTCACAGACTTTTCCTACTGACCTTCTAAGTTGTCTTTGGCGTTTGTGGGTTGAGAAGTCTGAAAACCACCACAGCTGCCTGTGATTCAGTCCTCTGAGGCCTGCTCCAGCTTAGCTGAGGCCTGTTGTGCCTGCGCGCCCACGCTGAACTGCGTTCCTCTCCCAGCCTGGCACAGTAGAACTTTCCAATCAACCATCCAGGTTGTCTTGGGCTGGAAATTTGTTTCACTCTGTCTTTTTTGTGGGTTCTGCTGCTTTAGAAGTTGTTCAGAGCCATTTTTTACAGGTATTTGGGGTGAGCTCAAGCAAGTCACTGCTTTTACTCTGCCGTCTTGTCTGCACCCTGTCCTTCATTTTCTAAGAAGACTGATGTCATCATGGCATGATGTTTTGACTTGCTCAGGAATTGGATTTAAGTGCAGCAGAATTACACAAGTCATCAGTCTCACTCTCTCTTCCCAAGTTATTGAAGTCCAGTGGCAAGACAAAAATCAGGACAGCTGGCAATGGGCCAGGATGCAGTGGGTTTCCTTGGTGTCTTTAATGTGTGATTTTTGATGTCTGACCAAGCTTTAAGCACTCCACAATGCCTACTTCAGTCACATTCATGGCCATTGGAACAGATTGTTCTCATCGCCCATTCAGCTGGGGAAAGTCTTCACATGCTTGGGGTAGACATCTCCCTAACTCACCAACAGGTTTGAGGCCTTTTGGTTACCCTCATCCTGCTTTAGTTCAATCTGCCAAGACACTTTTACTGGGCTGTGGTATGCTACAGCTTCTCAGTGCCACAGGTGGTGTTATTGGTCCTTTCTTCTCACAGGACCAGTGGCATCAGGAGGGTGATGTCTTGACTTGCAAGTGAATTGGATTGAAGTGAGGTAGAGCTGTGTAAAATCATCAGCCCCACTTTCTCTTCCAGAGTCATTGGAGTCCAGTGGCAAAACATAAGTCAGGACTACTGGTGATGGCCCAGCATGCAGTGGGAGACTGTGGACTTTTCAGAGTGACAAGTGATAGTTGGATAAAAGGTAGACACCAAAGGCAGATAAGCAGCCCTACAAAGGGCTCAGCAAGGCCTCACAGCAGAGGGGCTAGTCCTCCTTGAACACCCTAAACACCCGACGTGCTTAGGACCCAATGAAAGATTTTTATTTCCATTCCTTGCTTACCTTAGGATTTGTCCTTGAGCTCATTCCACAAAGCACACAATTCTAATTCACGCAGAGGGTTGACTGCCTGCCATCTTCCTTCTAATAGGAACATTATACTTTATTCTAAGGAAAATTACCTCAGCAGTCTAAGAGGAAAGAAATATATCTTCCAAGTTCTGATGCTACCAACCAAATAGCACTTTTGAAACCATCTACTTTCACTCACACATTTGGCAGATGAAAAACCAATAGCAAGAGAGGTTATGTGATTTGACTAAAGTCACATGTGTAGGTATTAAGTGGCAGAGATAGCTTTGAACTCCATTCTCTGATTCTGATTCCAACTCAGCCTCAAAATGTGACAACTTCTCCAATCCCATCAAGAATAGATCACAGTATCTGACCATAATTTTTTCAGAGAAAGACAAAGTTCACCTCAGACCTCACAGTGACCCAAAGAAAATGCTTTAGGATAATCACGACTGACTGCCCAGTGTGGGAGTCACTGTCCTGCAAGGTAATCCACAAAGATTTACAGTGAATGTATCCTCATGCTTCAGCTTATGTTGGCTTTGTTCTATACCTCAACAATCTGCTTTTGTCAGAGTAGTCCCTTCACTGACAGATTGTAATCCTTTTCTGCTTTAGTAGATAATCTTCATGAATTGCTGTGGCCCCCTAAATATCTCCTGGAAATCAACTACAGGTAATGAAAGAGCATCATTGCATTTAGCTAGGTTGGTCCTCTGGTGACATACAGTGAGTACATTGCTAGGCTCTTATTCAAAACTTTTCCAGCTTAGTAGAACCTACTAGAGTTTTCATTCAGTGGGCACAGTCTTTAAGTAAGTACCCAGGGTCATTTCTATACCAGAACAAAGTACCAAGTAGGCCCTTAGTGGAAGAATTTATGTAGTATTAAATTATGTAGTATTTTATTGCTGGTTTGTTAAAGCATTCTCATGTATGTCTTTACACTGCAGTATCATTAGAACTTTCAAAGGATTTATTTTGTTTTTGTTCAGTAGTTTCAGTTGTGTCTTTCTCTTTGTGACCCTGTTTGGTGGCTGTTTTTTTTTTTTTGTGAAGATACTGCAGTGTTTTGCCATTTCCTTCTCCAGCTCATTTTACAGTGAGGAAACTGAGGCAAATAGGGCTAAGTGACTTGCCTAGGGAATAAACTTTTATATATCACTAAGTATTTTATAAATATTATCTCATTTAAAGCTCACTATAATCTTGTGACAGTTGAGGAAGTCAAGGCAGGCAAATATATATGACTTGCCCAGTTACATAGCCCAGAAGTGTCTGAGGGCCAGACTTGAACTCCAGGCCCAAGGCCATATCGACCTTTTCACCTAGCTGCCTTGTGACATTGGCTGTGTAGGGCAGTTGTGTATCATGGTGAAAAAAATCCTAAACTGAAATGTAAGATCCACATCAAATCAGGGCTTTGACACTAGATGTTCAGCAGTGAGGAAGAAGGTCTCTGTGAAGCTCAGTTTCCTCTTCTGAAAAATGGAGATATTTATACTACTTACCTCAGGCCTGTTTATGAGATTCAAATGAGATAAAACTGTGTAAAATGCTATATGTGAACCATTGGTATGGGTTGGAATTTGAAATATGACATGATACATTCCATTGGTACTTATGCACTAACTGCCTCCAAACTTTAGAGTTCTATATTAATGCTAGTACATATTCTGTGACTGAGGGTGTGGGTTCAAAACCTGACTCTCCCATTTATTATCTTTGTGACATGGGTAAGTCTCAACCTCTCTGGGTCTCTGACTCATCTATAAAAAGAGAAGACTGGACTAGGTGCAGAACTCCTTCTAGCTCAAGATACTGTGACCCCATTTTCAAAGATGATGACCAGAGACCTCAGCTGTTACTGTCCTCATAGTGCCTGGATGGCCACTGCTCCCCTGGATTTTCTTCAGTTCCAACTGTTCCTGCACCCACAACCCAAATACCTCATGGAATAGGGATGATTTGTGGCTCCTGGTTCTCACCTAGCTTAATTCGCTGCTCCATGACCTTAGTCTTGGGCTACTGGTCACAAGATGTTGACATAAGATTTCCCTCAACAGTGTAGCTCTTC